CATTGTAACCTCTTATGGGCTTCCTTTTGCCCTTGTTGTTTGAGTTGCAGTTGTGAGTTACGCGGATCACACCATTTATTCGTAATAATTTTGGAGGAGTCGGCTTCATCTCATGTGGTTGTTTGTTACTGTCACCATGTGATAGGGCAGTGGCTATGGATGGTTGCTTGGCATCATTTTTATCCTTTTTGACTGTGATATTCAAATGTTGTTGATTCATTGGTATTTAAAGGGCCATGAAACAAAATTAACATAGCAGATTTAAAGTCAAGAACTTGGGTACCCATTAATGCTGCCATTAAAAAAAAATGGCAACCCCTCAAATACTCTTTTTTCTAAAGCCAGAGTACTTGGTGTCATTCTGGACTCCAACCTATCCTTCCAGCCCCAAGTCCAATCTTTAACAAACTCATGCAGACTCCACCTCCGCAACATCTCCAAAATACGCCCATTCCTAACCCCAGAAACCACTAAACAGCTCATCCACTCCCTCATCATATCACGACTTGATTACTGCAACTCCCTCCTTACTGGCCTGCCTCGCCGCTTCATGAATCGTCCTGTAGTCTTCTGGGGCCTGTCACGTGTCCCAAAAGACTACAGGGAGGGAGGACACCTTCCGTTTCTGATCGCCTAGGCCAGTGGTCGGCAAGCCGCGGCTTGCGAGCCACATGCGGCTCTTTACACACTTTAATGCGGCTCTTCTGTGTGCCGGGCGCCCGCTCCCCTCCCTCCTCTCGGGCGGCCGCCCCAAAAGTCAGGACTCTGCAGCTAGCCCAGCAATGGGCAAACTACGGCCCGGCGGACCTTTTAATCCGGCCCGCGGAGCGTGGCAAACATTGGCTGTCAGGATGTAGGCGGGGCAGCGTGACGAACTCCTCTCCTCTCACAGTCCGCCCTGAAGACCGGAACGGCGCGGGAACACGGCGAGAGGAACGCGCGGAGCAAAGGTAAGTGAATTGACACAATATGGGGAATGAATTACTATAGGGGGGATGAATTACTATGGGGGGGATGAATTACTATGGGAGGGATGAATTACTATATGGGGGATGAATTACTATATGGGGGATGAATTACTATATGGGGGATGAATTACTATGGGGGATGAATTACTATATGGGGGATGAATTACTATATGGGGGATGAATTACTATATGGGGGATGAATTACTATGGGGGATGAATTACTATGGGGGATGAATTACTATATGGGGGATGAATTACTATATGGGGGATGAATTACTATGGGGGATGAATTACTATATGGGGGATGAATTACTATGGGGGATGAATTACTATATGGGGGATGAATTACTATGGGGGATGAATTACTATATGGGGGATGTATTTTCAGTTTTAAAAATGTGGCTCTCAAAATAAATTTCAATCGTGGTTTTGGCGAGATTTGGCTCAGTTGAAAGAAAAGGTTGCCCACCACTGGCCTAGGCAATCAGACCGGAAGTGGGAGCAGGTACCTGTCAAATTTGGGTACCCGCTCCGCCCCCACTCCCCAAAGGTGCCAATCCTTAATGGGAAGTGGGGGAGCAGTCAAATCAGTTAAATCAGTTAAATCTGAACTTCCCCTTTTGGGTGGAGCTCAGCTTTAATAAAGCTCTGATTTATTAACACATCAATTAGTCCTGGTTCAAACTGATGCGGTGTGGAATTCGCAGCGTTTTCTGTGCGAATTTCGCACCGCATCAGAATCGCACCCTGTTCATGCGAACCTCTGCGGGTGTGTATGTTATGTTAACAACACCTTGAAATCGGTCCGCAAAACGCGGTGCGATGTGCAGAATCGGATCACATAGGTGTGAATACCCATGCGATCCCATTCTATTACGGACCAAAAAAAGGGTCCTGCACATTTTTGGTGTGGGTGCGGTGCGATTAGAGCCATAGAAAATGTATAACTCCAATTGCACCGCACACAAATCGCATGTGATTTGCAGAGGAATGCGGTGTGGTACGGTTCCTGTGCACTAATTGTTTGGAAAAAATACACTTTTTGTAATGTTAATGAACAAAAATACAATATGTTGCCCAATTTATTGATAAAATATAAAAAAATATGCTACACTGAGTAAATAGATACCAAACATGACATGCTTTAAAATTGTGCATGCTCGTGCAACAGCGACAAACTATGTCAATTTTCATATCATTATGGGACGCTTTAAAAGCCTTTACAGGTCAACACGATTCCAAACAGGAAGGGGGGGTGATTTTTTTTTTTTTACACTGTCTCTTTCTTTTTTTTTTTCTTATCACTTTTATTGTTATTCCAGGGAATGTAAGTATCCCTGTGATAGCAATAGGCAATTACAGGTACTCTTTTCTGAGAAATCTGGGGTCCATTAGACTCTAGATCTCTCCTCTGCCCTTAAAGCAAGATCGGTGTGATCAGATGCTTTTCCAACTTAAAAATGGCGCTGTTAATATCCAGTGAAATTAAATAATGAAATACTTGCAGCCTCCGGTTTCTTAGATCATAGAGATGATTGGAGCCATTCTGGTCATCAGCTCTATAGTCTGACAGCAGAACTGCTGGCTGCAATCTCGGATTCCCCTGTGAGATGGTAGAGCCCAAGAAAACCGTGGAAGGCAACGGGAGGGGGGGCGGAACATTCCTTCCCACTGCTTGTAAAAACGATCAAGCAGCTAATTAGCCGCTAAGATTGCTTTATTATGAAAGCCGACCATCAGCTGAAGCTTGCTTCTGCACCCTCCAGCCACAGCTCACCTCTGCATCCCCTGTCCACAACTCACCCCTGCACCCTGTCTGTGGTGCATCTCTGCACTTTGAAACTCACCTGTCAATTCACCCCTGCAACACTTAACTGCAGCTCACAACTGTCATCAGTTGGCTCTCTCTATAGTAACCCTCATCCACAACTGTCCGCAGCTCACCTCTGCACCCCCTGTCCACACCTGTACATTAAAAAATAAGACTTACCCCGAAAATAAGACCTAGTGTGTTTTTTTGAGCCAAAAAAATATAAGACAGTGTCTTATTTTTGGGGCAACACGGTAGTGATCTGTGATTGGCTAGAGCTGATCACATGGTATAGCATTCTGTGATTGGCCCCATGTGCCATGTGAGAGATGTGGTCTAATCACAGCTCAGCAGGAAGAGAGGCAGAGCTGTTATGAATCAGATTGATTCATAGCAGCTTTACTAACATTGTGATCATGTGGTACATGATCATTAGGTCCAGTTCAGCGGGATCTTCATTCTACTGTGTCCGGTGGACAGAGCGGTTGCAGGTGGGAAGAGCTGCGCCCCCCCCCCCCCTGTGTTAGTACAGTCAGAGTGACGCACCAGTATGTTGCGTTCCCTGATGCTGCAATTTACTGTGGACAGACAGTTGGCAAGTGATTAAAACAAGTAAATATGATATACTTTCCTATCTATTTACTAATACTAGCAGCATAAGGATTAAAAATGGTCAATGTTGATTGAGAAAGTGAAGTTACGCTTTAACCTCCCTGGCGGTATTCCCGAGTGTAGCTCAGGGTAAAGTTTCTGCACCACAAGCAGTAACCCCGAGCTACACTCGGGAATACCTTGCAGCGCTGCCCCGGGATCTCTTCTGCACTTTCCTTGTCCTGCGCTCCCGGATGTCCCTCCTGCACGTACGGGGGACGGAACTGGCGGAAAATTTAAAAATGTCAATAAGTGACATTCACTAAATTCACTAAAATCACATAGTATAACATTACTGTATCAAACCATTTCACATACATTTTGTCCCGAGTGCTCTGTCCTGTGCCCTGCCTACATTTTTACTGTTCTTTCTGCCTGGAAACTGAGAAACGTCCATGGCGTCCAAAAAGCGTTCCTTTAGGTCAAAAGTGGTTTTAGACCAGCTAGAGAACAGCGATAGTAAATCAGAACCACTTGCAGAATTGAGTGATAATGATTCGTGGGGAAATTCGTCATCAGACACTGCAAACAATTTTGCAACTTTGCTCAGTGATGTGCGAACTTGGCGCTATATTTCAAATTTCAGTGTTTTTGGTTTGATTATATTATTGAATTAAATTTATAATTATTATATAATTTTTTTTATGATTATTAAATTATAATTTATGATTTCGTGTTTCAAATTTTATCATACCCGGGATGTTTACTAGACTCTTGTTTGGACAGATTTCAGTGAGTTATTCCTAAAAATTACAGGCCTACAGTAAAAAAACGACATATTTCTATGCAAAAATATTTACCGCTTTGAGCACAGAAATACTGACATAATCAGACCACTAGGGAGGTTAAGCTTCTTTCCTAGAGTTCAAGATTAATGCAGGATTGCTGTGGATTGATTGAAAGTACCATTTTATGTCTTTGATTGCTGTGCGATTTTTAGCAACAAACGAAATTCCAATTACCACATGGTATGGCCAGCTTAAAGCAGAACTATTTCTACCTCCACTCCAGAACTGTGGTGTCCCAGAGCTTCCTCACCAACCACTAAAATCTTCAGCCAGTCTTCTTCCTGCTTCCAATCTTTGGCCGTTTTGATTGTGACCTAGCTGATATCACGTCCATGCATGCGCAGCTCAGTGTACAGTGCAGACAGACAAGCAAGAAACTTTATTGCAGAAGAGACATAATGTGGTTGATTCACCAAAACTGAAGAGTGCAAAATCTGGTGTAGCTCTGCATAGAAACCAATCAGCTTCCAGTTTTTTTGTCAGCTTTTAATTGAACAAGATAAAGTTAGAAGCTCATTCACTACCATGCACAGCTGCACCAGATTTTGCACTCTCCAAATTTAGTAAATCACTGTAAATTCTTTTTTTCTAATTCTAATTAATTTCTAATTTTTTGTGTGCACGTTTTTTGCATTTCCTTTAACCACCTCCCGCCCGCCATATAGTAATATGACAGACGCAAGGTGGTTCTCTCATTCTGGGAGGACGTCATATGACCTCCTCCCATTCTAACCGCGCATGAGCGGCTCCCGGAGCGCGCAGAGTGGTGATCGGCGGTGCGCTGTGTCCCTCGGACACAGCGGATCACCGATCAACGGAAAGAGCCGAAGATGTCAGCTCGGTCATGTGATCAGCTGTGTCCAATCACAGCTGATCACATGTAAACAGGGAAATGCCGGTTATCGGAATTTCTCTCCCCACGAGCTGTCACGCTGACAGAGGAGAGGAGAGCCGGTAATCGGCATTGCTCAGAGGGGACATGTACACTGATCATCAGGGCACTGATGATCAGTGTGCCCTGATGATCAGTGTAGCCCCAGCAGTGCCACCTGTCAGTGTCCATCAGTGCCAGCTTTCAGTGCTCATCCATGCCACCTGCCAGTGCCCACCAGTGCTACATTTCAGTGCCCATCAGTGCCAAATCAATGCCACATATCAGTGACCATCTAAGCTGCCTTTCAGTGTCACCCAGTTAGTGCTATCTATCAATGCCAGTCAGTGCCACCTATCAGTGCTGCCAATCAGTGCCACCTATCAGTGCCAGTCAGTGCCGCCTATCAGTGTGCATCAGTGCCGCCTATCAGTGCCCATCAGTGCTGCCTATCAGTGCTGCCTAACAGTGCCAGTCAGTGCCACCTAACAGTGCCAGTCAGTGCCGCCTATCAGTGTGCCTGTCAGTGCCGCCTATCAGTGCCATATATGAGTGCTGCCTTTCAGTGCCCATCAGTGCTGTTTGTCAATGCCCATCAGTGCCACCTACCAGTGCCTCCTCATCAGTGACCATCAGTGCCCATCAGTGCAGCCTATCAGTGCCCATCAGTGCAGCCTCATTATCGCATATCAGTGAAGGAGAAAAATCACTTATTTACAAAATTTTATAAAAAAAACTAAGAAAAAACTTTTTTTTTCAAAATTTTCAGTGGTTTTTGGTTTGTTTAAGAAAAAACAAAAACCCAGAGGTGATAAAATACCACCAAAATAAAGCTCTATCTGTCACAAAAAAATGATAAAACTTTCATATGGGTACAGTGTTGCATGACCGCGCAATTGTCATTCAAAGTGCAACAGCACTGAAAGCTGGAAATTGGCCTGGGCAGGAAGGGGGTATAAGTGTCCTGTAGGAAAGTGGTTAAAAACAATGGAGTCTCTTTAGCTAGTTCCGTGCCGCCCTATAGCAGAAATAGTGCTACAGGGCGGCACGAGTGCCCAAAATCACGTATATATACCCACGCTGCCATTCGCGACCTCAGCTGTCAGTCACTGGGTCCTGGCTGGTGATTACTCACCAGCACCCGGTGATCGCCAAGTATCTCCGACAGGGGAGAGACCTGTATATAAAAAACACAGATCTCTGCCCTGTCAGCTCCTGCACATTGATTTGTATGGCTCTGCATAGCAGTGTGCTTACAGTGAAACATACACTTAGTACACAGTGAAACTTCACACAGCACACAGTTAATCCTTAGATCTCCCCAGATGTTAACCCCTTCCTGCCCAGTGCCATTAGTACAGTGTCAGTGCTTTTTATTAGCACTGATCACTTTATTGGGGATGTCAGTGACACCAAGTCAGTTCCCCCCCAGTGTCAGAATGTCACAGTCCCATTATACATCGTTGATTGCCGCCATTACTGGCATAAAAAAAAAAAAAACATTCCAGTGTATATATATACCACCATTTGTAGATGCTATAACTTTCACCTAAACCAATTTTTTTATGTATAGCGAAAAATAATAAAAATCGCACAGGTGATCAAATACCATCAAAAGAAAGCTCCATTTGTGGGAAAAAAAGGCTGTAAATTTAATTTGGGTGCAGTGTTGCATGACCACACAATTGTCAGTTAAAGTAACGCAGCGCCGTATCGCAGAAAATGGCCTGGTCACGAAGGGGGGTAAATCCTCAGGAGGGCAAGTGGTTAAACATGTCCAGTAAAAAAAATTTAAAAATCCAATTTCGTCATAAATTTAGGTCAAAATGTATTTTTCAACAGTCTTTGCTAAAACAAAACCCAATACTTGTAAATAATTGGTTTACATGAAAGTTATAGCATCTACAAATGGCGGTATATATACTGGATTTTTTTATATATACTATGCAGAGCAATACAAAGCAGTGTGGAGGAGCTGACAGGGGAGAGATCTGTATTGTTTACTTACAGACCTCTCCCCCGTCAGTGATACTCGGTGATTGCCAAGTGCTGGCGAGGAATCACCGCCCGGGACCCGGTGATCGAGAGCTGAGGCTGCCAATGGCAGCGCGGGTAGGACGTGCAAGCTCCCTACCTGAAAGTGCAAAATCATGTGTGTGTATATATATATATATATATATATATATATATATATATATATATACACACGTGTGTGTGTGTGATTTTGCGCAGCCCTGCCGCCCTGTAGCAGTACTTCTGCTATAGGGCGGTGGGCAAGCAGTTAAAAGAAAAACAAACAATAACAAACAAAATAATATCAACTTATTTGTACCCTGATACCTAGCAATTCAGTTGAATCTGTCCCACTTCACCATCAGGGAGATTTCCATTCAGATCCTGTTTCAGTGACCACCTCCAATGGGGCAAGAAGTGAGAAGAATCTATCCTACACAGTCAAAGAGCAGCAATAAAAACCTGGGAGAATTCAGAAGTTCTACTCCTTTCTAACTCAACAACATTCAATACTTTTGTAGATGGCAGCCCATCAGCTGCCAAAAAGATGCTCAAAGTTAGATCTCTTAGTACTGAATGCTGTAAAGATTTATGACAATTGCAGTTATTATAAATGGAGGTGCCCAGAGTGAATTTATTATGACATTGTAACATTAATCTATATACTGTCAGATTTCACAGAAATAAGTCACTGTGTCTAATTAGTAAATTGCTGCACATTCAACTGTTTGTTTGCACATTCTCTATTTAATTGTCATAACAATCTGTATAAAAGAGTTTTAAAAATAATATTAATGGATGAATATGTAAAACCTTAAAGTGACCCTAAACTCTGCCTTAACCACTTCATGCCCGCCATGTACCGTGTACAGGTACAGTTTTGTTCAAAATAATAGCAGTGTGTTGAAAAAAATGAATAAAGCTCAAAATCCTTCTAATAGCTTTTATTTCCATACACACAAATGCACTGGGAACACTACACATTCTATTCCAAATCAAAACATGAAGAAAAATAGATCAAATTTGTGTTGTTCCTCTAAAAAAATTAAAGAAAAGTGAATATTAGACTGTTCAAAAAAATAGCAGTGTTTGTATTCTTCTTTACAAACTCAAACATTCACTATATAAACTGAAAAATGTTTGAAGATTTTGCTTTCCTTTGAATCACTTAATGAATATTTAGTTGTATAAGCACTGTTTCTGAGAACTGCTGTACATCTGTGTTGCATGGAGTCAACCAACTTCTGGCACCTGTGATCAGGTATTCCAGCCCAGGATGATTGGACTACATTCCACAGTTCTTCTCTATTTCTTGGTTTTGCCTCAGAAACTGCATTTTTGATGTCACCCCACAAGTTTTCTATTGGATTAAGATCCGGGGATTGGGCTGGCCACTCCATAACGTCAATCTTGTTGGTCTGGAACCAAGATGTTGTACGTTTACTGGTGTGTTTGGGGTCGTTGTCTTGTTGGAACACCCATTTCAAGGGCATTTCTTCTTCAGCATAAGGCAGCATGTCCTCCTGTGTGCGTAGAGCAGTGCACAAGTGCACATGACTGCAACTAATACGCACTACTCATTCTAAACAAAGGGAAGTGAGACGGAAAAGGTGAGGTTCAGGAAGTCACAGAGGATGTTACAAGGAGGGAGAAAAACACAGTAAAAAATAATTTCATTACAGGGCCATTAAGTAGTCGATGTGTAATTTTGGAGCATAAGGATATTGATTAGTGTCACTATGTGGGCAGCACAGTGGCTAAATGGTTAGCACTTCCATCTGGCAGTACTAGGGTTGTTGGTTCAAATCCCAACCACAGCACCACCTGCCTGGAGTTTGCATGTTCTCCTTGTGACTGCATGGGTTTTCTCCGGGTACTCCGGTTTCCTCCCACACTCCAAAGACATGCTGGTAGGTTAATTGGCTCCAACAAAGATGGCTCTGTCCAGAAGGTGGCTTCTGGAGAGAAAAGCATTTGAAGGCATTGTCAGCACTGTGATCTCTGCAACTTGTAAAGTGTATTGACTTCTTAGGCCTCATGCATACAGGACGTTTTTGCAGCCACTTTTAGGTTCTAACCTCAGCTTGTTCAGTTAAGCTTTGGCAGTGAGGCTCCGTTCACACCTATGTTTTTTTGTTCGTTTTGCATTTTTTAAGCAAGTTTTTACTGTGTTTTGTTGAAGCTGAAAAAAAAAAAAAGTCAGCAGCTACAAAAACTGTAGCTGCTGAATTTTAAAATACAGACACTTATCTGTCTCTCGGTCCAGCAGTATCCTCACCACCACTGGTTTCACTGGCCGTCTTCTCTCCCTGGTGCCAGCCAGGGGCAGACTGACAACTAATGGGGCCCCCGGGCAATAGGGGATCATGGGGCCCCTGTGTCCTTGCCCACACTCAAAAAAGCCTATAAAAAAAGTACCAGGGGCATTTCATGGGGCCCCCTACTGACCCCGAGTACTCGAATGGTCAGTCCGCCCCTGGTGCCAGCATCTTTAGTGTGGGCACCCAGCTTTGACAGCTAGCGGCTTCACAGTCGGGTGCCCCCTGCGCATGTGCGAAAAGCGCTGCGCTTTGTGAATGGCCCCATAGTCTTCTGGGACCTATCAAGTGTCCCAGAAGACTATGGGTAGGGAGAGAGGACAACTTCCACTTCCGATCGCCTAGGCGATCACAGTGTAATTGGGAGCGGATACCTGTCAATTCATTCAGTATCCGCTCCTCAAAGGTGCCAATCCTTAATGGGGAGCGACGGACAAAGCATTAAAACTGAACTTCCCCTTTTTGGTGGAACTACGCTTAAAAGCTCTTTTTTTTCTTAAAGTGGAATTTGTATTTTTGCTGAGCAGAATAAAAATGCAAAACACGGCAAAAACGCACTACCACGCATTTCAGCAGATTCTCCATTGAACTCTATTGTAGCAAAAACGCTGCTTTTTGCTTTTAGAAAAAAATCCCTGAACCTTTCCAAAAACACTGCAGCTCAAAAAAAAGCATAGATGTGATCCTGTTCCATAGGAAACCATGTTAAATGGACTGTAGTGGATTTCTGCAAAAAGCACTAAAAAATGCATTGGTGTGCATGGAGCATGACACCTGGAAGCTGATTTTATTTTATGCAGAAGTGAGGCTGATTTTGAACTCTCCGGCGTTAGTAAATAAACCCCTATGTGTCCATGAACACAGACTTTTAGAAATTTTTAGTGGCTGGCATGTTTACAGGCAGGAAAGCGCTTAAGGGTTAATTCATTTCAATGGCCAGAATAAACTGTTATTCTGGCCAATGAAAAAACTTAACGCTCAAGTGCTTGACGCTTGTAAATGCACCTAAATGGCTGTAAACACTTTTTTCTGCCAAACCACTGCTGCCAAGAGGAGAAGCGTCCTGTGTGCATGAGGCATTATTTCTAATTTAACCTATATTAGCCAATCACAATTAATTAATTGAACTCAGACTGGGACAAGTGGATTCTGATTGGCTTCTGTGAGTTACTACACATTGGCATTTAAAGTGGTAGTAAACTCTGGATTTTTACTTTTACCTATAGGTAAGTTTATAATAAAGCTTACCTGTAGGTAAAATGACCGTGTCATTCCCTCAGAGCACTGTGCCGTGGCTGTGCATAGCCATGCCGTGGCTCTGCGTAGCAGAGCCATACAAAGCAGTGTGCTTACAGTGAAGCACACACACAGCACATAGTAAAACACACAGCACACAGTTAACCCCCACATGTTAACCCCTTCCTACCCAGTGCCATTAGTACAGTGTCCGTGCTTTTTATTTGCACTGATCACTGTATTGGTGTCACTGACATCCCCAGTGACACCAATACAGTTTCTCCCAGTGTCTCCGCAGTCCAGCAGTCCCGTTATAAATCACTGATCGCCGCCATTACTAGTATGAAAAAAAAATTCCAGTATATACCGCCATTTATAAACGCTATAACTTTCATGTAAACCAATTCATTTACATGTATTGGGATTTTTTTTTAGCAAAGACATGTAGCGGAATACATTTTGGCCTAAGTTTATGACAAAATTGGATTTTTAAAATTTTTTTTACTGCACATGTTTAATAGAAAAACGTCAAAATATAGTTTTTTACTCAAAATTGTCAGTCTTTTTTTGTTTATAGCACAAAAAATATAAAACACACAGGTGATCAAATACCACTGAAAAAAAGCTATATTTGTGGAAAAAAGGACATAAATTTCATTTGGGTGCAGCGTTGCATGACTGCACAATTGTCAGTTAAAGTAATGTAGCGCCGTATTGCAAAACATGGCCTGGTCAGGAAAGGGGGTAAATCCTCTGAAGGGCAAGTGGTTAATAATTTTTTAAGGCCTCATGCACACTGGGCGTTTAGCCATGGTACATGAGGCTACAATGTTTAGCTTTGGCTGGAGGGCCAAACTCTATGGCAGTTGAACAGTTGCAGCAACTGGTTGGGGCTAGGTCAGGGGCGGACTGACTATTTGGAAACTCGGGCACTGCTCGAGGGTCCGGGGTCAGTAGGGGGCCCCATGAGATGCCCCTGGTACCTTTTTCATAGGTTTTTTTGAGTTTGGGCAAGAACACAGGGGCCCCATGATCCCCTATTGCTTGGGGGCCCCACGAGTTGTCAGTCTGCCCCTGGGCTAGGTAATGCACATAGCAGTATGTACATTCAGGACAGTGTGCACCCAGGAATGATTACCGAAACGCAAACAGTCTGTGTTTTGACATTTGTCCTTCAATGCATATTGTCCTAAACATTGAGTGCACCGTCCAGCCTTGTCCAGCCGTATCAGCTGTCAGACTCATAGAGTGGGGCTGGATGGTGTGTACCTGTCCCTTCCAGTTTCACTAAACGCTGGATTCTCATGCACCACAGCTAAACGCACATTGTGCATGTGACCTAAAAAGAAATTTGAAGCAACAAGTGAAATCAGCTACATATTTGCTTCTACTTACCAGTAAACACTGCAGCTGTGCAACTAAGTCTTAGGGCCAGTTCACACTACATGCATTTCAGTTGCTTTTTCTCTGCGTCAAAAATGCACAGAAAGTAGGTTCTATGGTTGTCTATGTCATAGTTCACATCAGTGCTTGCAGTTCCAGTGCGTTCCGGATGCAGAAAAAAAAGTAGAACATGCTACATTTTTTTCTGCACAGAACTGTACTGGAACTCGGTAAAACGCATCAAAAATGCACCGGAATGCACATGTCCCTATTTAAATTGAAGAAAAAGAGAGGGGAAAAAAATTAACTGGAATGCATTAAAAACGCACCGGAACACATCAAAAACTCACTGGAACGCAACAAAAAGGCGTCAAAAGCACGCATGCAGAAACGCATCTGGACTGCATTTTTATAGTGTGAACCGGCCCTAAAGGTTTACCTGTTTTACCCAAACTGCAAAGTGTTGTGATAAGTATGTATTCTCCTTATGTTTTATGCACAGGGCTAAATATGCATTTTTTCTTAAAATACATATCAATGACATAATTATGATGTTTTTGCATAGGAATAGTGTCATATTTGCCACTTTCAGCCAGCAAGTGTCAAGCACAAGACAACAAGGCCACCAAAGCACAGGGTAACTTGTATTGCAGAACATTGGATTGAAAAAAAGCTGGCTATACACCAGTAGAATTTCATTCAAATACTCAGAGAAACTCTTGCCATCGTTGAGTCAACTAAATTTGTTCCACAGCCCTCAAAAATTTATTTAGACCTGCTGATTGAATCTCCTTGGAAATTTGTTGCCACTAAAGTTGAAACCGATCGCCAATTAGAGCCCATTAACCATTAGAATATCAAAGAAGCATTCTAAAAACTAACATTTTTTAACAAACGTCTACTAGTCTATGGCCAAATATAAATTCCCCCTTTTAGTTAGGCTCCTCCTGGTACTTCTCCCCAGGAAGTGATCCCCTCTCTGGCAGGATCTTATGTAAATAGAGGGTGGAGTTTAGTTGCATGAAGTTGGAGTGCAGACGTGTAGCATCATGGAACTGTAGGACTGGGGGAGTATTTTTGATTTTCCACTTTGTGGGCCTTCCCAGGAGAGGGTAACTCTGGAGTTGGGCTGCTTGCTGAGCTGCACTCCTGACCATGGAACTAAGAATTTCTATCATGAAAATTGGGTACTGCTGCAATTTTTCTTGTTAATGTGCCTGTGAAACAGTTGCTTCATCATTTAAAGTAGTTTGTAAGTGGTTGTAAAGGGTATTTTTTAAATTAAAATAAAAAACATGGTATACTCACCTGCTCTGTGCAATGGTATTGCACAGAGCAGCCCAGATCCTCCTCTTCTGAGGACCCCCCAATGGCTTCTTGGCTTCTCATCTTCTCTGTGTGCCACCATATGAAGCCACTACCCATGGTGGCACACCTGTGGGGTCACTCTCAAGCTGGGCTCTGTGTATTCCTCTACACACACAACATGGCTCAGCCCCACCTCCCACTCTCTGCTCACAGGATTTGATTGACAGCAGCAGGTGCCAATGATTCCTGCTGCTGTCTCTGAGCCTGTGAGGAGAGAAAGAGAGAGCAGTGCTGCTACAGCGGGGCACAGCGCTGGATTGAGATAAGACTCAGGTAAGTATAAAGGGAGGTGAGGGGGCAATGCAACTAGTGAGTCATTTTTTACTTTAATGCATTAAGGTAAAAAAATGTCTCGCATTTGCACTCACTTTTATGTGTAACCTGCAAGCCTTTAATAAAGGTTATTGACTTTGCTTCTGGCTAGTGTGATATTGTAAGAGAATGCCTGAGACTTGAGTGGAAGAGTAAAAAGTGGGCCAGTACATGGTTAGGCCACAGGTAGCTGGATGGGTGCAAATCATAAAACATTTCATGGGTGCTGGCGTATAGGATCTTGAATGCAGTACCATTAAAAAGTATTCATACCTCTTCACATTTTCCACATTTTGTCATGTTACAACCAAAAACATAAATGTATTTGATTGGCATTTTATGTGATAGACCAACACAAAGTGGCACATAATTGTGAAGTGGAAGGAAAATGATAAATGGTTTTCAAAATTTTTTACAAATAAATATCTGAAAAGTGTGGCGTGCATTCAGCCCCCTTTACTCTGATACCCCTAACTAAAATCTAGTGGAACCAATTGCCTTCAGATGTCACCTAATTAGTAAATAGAGTCCACCTGTGTGTAATTTAATCTCAGTATAAATACAGCTGTTCTGTGAATCCCTAAAATGGTTGCTAGAGAACATTAGTTAACAAACAGCATCATGAAGGCCAAGGAACACACCAGGCAGGTCAGGGATGAAGTTGTGGAGATGTTTAAAGCAGGGTTAGGTTATAAAAAAATATCCCAAACTTTGAACATCTCATGGAGCACTGTTCAATCCATCATCCGAAAATGGAAAGCGTATGGCACAACCGCAAACCTACCAGAGATCCACAGCTCAGGTGGCAGAATCTGTTCACAGGACAACTATTAGTCGTGCACTCCACAAATCTGGCCTTTATGGAAGAGTGGCAAGAAGAAAGCCATTGTTGAAAGAAAGCCATAAGAAGTCCTGTGTGCAGTTTGTGAGAAGCCATGTGGGGGACACAGCACACATGTGGAACAAGGTACTCTGGTCAGATGAGACCAAAATGTAACTTTTTGGCCTAAAAGCAAAATGCTATGTGTGGAGGAAAACTAACACTGCACTGCCACTAATGTGTCTGACCATGGGGCAGGGGGTTGATGTGGCCACATAAGAAGGGACTATTGTGACCCCAGAGGGAGCAAAGCAGAGAGAGCGTACATTCCAAAGAATATGGACAATCAAAGGGGGTTCCCAAAAAGCAGATTGCTGTGAAAGAGAACAAGGGTGCACAGTACCATTTCACAAACGAAAAAAATGTTTTTTTTTCTTATCCGTGTGTGTGAAAACGTGGAGTTACCATCTAGGTCAGTTTGCCTCCACTTTGTAAGTGAGACATTAAAGACGGCAGTCATCAATGTCGTGCAAAACAGGATGTGATAATAAACGGAAAGCTGTCAGATTTAACTCTTTTCAAGAAAGTGGTAAGCTGTTGTCTCGAGTCCAGCCTTCCCAAATCTCCTAGCAAGCCGACTTGGGTTACATACGCACTGAACTCTGAGCCTCGAGAACTTTGCGGCCTAATTCCACTTTCCCACTTATAACGACTGTAACACTTCACCAGATTTTGGGATCAGCGCATGATTGACACCAACTGATGTTTCCTGAACTGAGAAAACACTGCGCAAGATTTATTCTAGATGAAAAAAATGTATGAAGTCTGGTGTGAGTGGGTGTTCGAGAGCGGCAGAAACTGGCAGTGGAATGTGCAATGTTGGGGGCAGAGAAACTCTCAATTTCCTGTAATGCAATTCAACAAATGTTAGATGTGGGAGAAAGATTCTCTAAGCTCTGACAGAGAACGTAAGCCTTCTTTATCAGCGGCTAAAGGAAAACAGTTCTAGCTGACCATAGCAACCAGTCAGAGCCTTCCTTTCATTCTCTGTTACTGCACTGGGGAAAGGAATGAGAACCATTTGTTATAACTAGAAAAGATATTTATTCAAAGGCTTGGATAGTAAAAGAGAACTAATCATGACTAGGTTTATGCAAGAATCAGACTATTCAGTCATAGAGTTCAATTAACTTCGAAGAACTAGCGATACAGTGAAGCAGACATCCATATGGCTTGGATGTCACTCCACTTCCTCAAACTCAACCTTTCCAAAACTGAGCTCCTAGTATTCCCCCCAGCCCGTGCCCCCCCACTGACTTCACCATAAATATCGATAACACCATCCTCAGTCCATCCCCTCACGCCAGGGTACTAGGTGTAATCATAGACTTCCATCTGTCCTTCCAGCCCCAGATCCAATCGCTGACAAAATC